AGGCAAGCTATCAAGTCTTGATGCCTCAGTTTCCCCCATCTGAGAAATGGGGATGTAAAAAGTAATGGGACTGTTGAAAGGACAAGATGGAATTATGGCCTCAGTTTCCCCATCTGTGAAAAATGGGGATGTGAAAATATGACTGTTGTTAGGTTAAGATGGAATTATACACATAAAACACTTGCCTCCTATCAATAAGTAAAAAAGAACTGCCCCATGCCTACCTTCTGAGGGCAACCAAATTTTTAGGAAAAGAAAGGTTCTTTTTCTACAACTTGACCACCATGAGCCCAGTCACATGTGACATAGGACAGGTATCAAAAGAAAAATAACTTCTAAAAAGCATGTGAATGGCAATTTCCAAATACTATTCCTCAAGTGTCCCCCTGCCTAGCATACCCGAGAGATATCTCCTGGTGTCTCTGCTTTTGCAAATCTTTTACTCCAAATAAGACAAAGTTGCTATGCTTCCAGGGAAAAGATGTTTCTGCTGCTGACAAGGAAGAGATGTAGCTCCCCAGGAAAGGGAAGGAAGGAGAGGAGAGGCAAGATAATGAACAGAAAACAAAAGGAGAACTTTGCTGGGTGTCATTTCAGGCTCTTCTGAAAAAACAAATCATGAAGCCCAGGGTAAGCCGGTTGGACAGATAATGCCTGTAAGCTGGGGAAATGAGGTGAGAATCAAAGGAAAGGGAACAGACAAAATTAGAGCAAATCCAAGATAAGCGTTATAGCACCCCCTGACTACCTGTTTTCCCAAAAGAGGATGGAACTCAAATCCAAGTACAAAGCCCAAGTGATTCGGGGAAAAGTCCCCTCAGGTTATTTCATGCAGAAATGCTACTGTTTCCACCAGCCAGGAGACAGACATTGGAAGCTGTCAATATGACCATCTTTGAGTCATTACAAAGGGAATGGAGGTAAAAGGGAAACAAAATTACACATTGACCCAGGCAGGGTATGGGGCAGAGGGAGGGAGGGCCACAGGACAAGAGCACCAGAAGGGGTATGTGGACCTGGGGCTAGCACCCCATTTGTCAAGTTAGGAAACAGGGTGCAGGAGAGGCAGGGGCCTTGTGCAGCACCCCCACCCCAAGCTGTGCCCTTCTAAGGCCTGCTCTGGGAGCAGGGGGTAAGGTTTGCTTGTTTTAATAAGTGTTACCTACTGCCCTTACGGTTGCAGAGGAGGATGAGAGCACTTTCTTCCATGCATGGTCCCTGCTTCTTCCCTTTGCCTCTCCTGGGCAACACCCCTTTCTAGGAATGTTCCTTCTTCAACTTCCTCATCAATGTCCTCCTCTGCTTACTATTCTCTGCTTTCCTGCCACCAGAATCACCACTCTCCGGGCTGACTCTGTATTCCCATCACTCTCCTCTTCCAGTCCCACCAGCCTTGCGCCCTCCAACCATTTGCTCGCCTCTCAGCCCAGATCTCTGGTGACAACCAGCCTTGTCCCAGTTGGCTGCTCAGCAAGCCCCCTTTCTTTTCACCTGTGGCACCAAGGGAGAGGACTTCTCTGGCCAGAATTTGCCAGCACCAAGGAGGTCTGTATGACCATGAAGGGCTGCCCACACCCACCCCAGCCCGCTAGTCCACAGCTGAGGGATGCTCAAACTGACCATTCCCTCCAGCTAGGAGGCCACAGAATGGACCTGACTCCCTGGGATCACCCACCTCTCTCTCTCATCCACTGGGCATGGCTCAGGAAGATTTGCCTAAATACCAACAGTCTGAAATCCATGAGAGGACACAATGGGCTCAGGACATGGAAGCAGAGGACTGCTTCTCAAACTTCCATGTGTAAACAAAGCCATGATGTAGATAACAGCCCTCCCACCTCCACAGGCTCAACAGTCCAGGGGTGGGGAGGGGGGAGCTGGGAAGCTGCATTTCTAACAAGTCTGATGCGGATTCTCATAAAGGGACTCAAGGACTATGTTACTGAGGGAAACACCACATAAATAATGGTGTGAATAATTGATGCACTTCCAGCTGCAGTCAGAACACAGAGATGTCCAAGAGAAGTCACCATCCAGAGACAGTGTCAGCAGATAAGGCTTCCCCAACTAAACTTTGCTCTCGCTCTGCATTTACATATGTTTTGACTGCATTTTACACCTCTCTGCACATCAGTTAGAGTACAGAACAGACCTCGACTGTTCACAACTATGCTTCCCATTGTCTGTAGTAACCAAAGGCACTCAACAAACTGGCTGGACATAAAATTAAAAATCCTCTCCTGGGTTTCTCTGGCCAGTCCTGATGCCAGCCCCCTGAGATCCTGGGCTTCAAGCATATACTTGCCCCCACAACAGGTTATGGCCTGGTTGCGGTCTCAGGCTGCCCTGTGACCCTGTCGTACCCTATCACCACCACCATGTTCCTTCAAGGGTAGCATCCACCCCCTATCTGACCACATCCTCCCTGGTCCTCACTCATGCCCTCCTCTGGGAGGCCTCTCCTGACCTGCATCCTACACCCCTAGGCTAGGAGCCCTGCCCAGGTCCCCTGCCCATGGACACATCCTGCAGTACAATCAGTCCCCACAGTAAGCTCCAGATAAGACCCAGCCTCCTCCCTTTTCTATCCCAGGGTCTGGCTAGGGCCTGGCATGGTGAGGAGCAAATCAGGGCATTAGTTTGAGTTAATGGACAGGAGTTTTAAGGCTTGGAATGCAATGGGTGCTTAAGTCACTCACCATTCTCAGAGGAGAGGGGAGGGCTCAGAAATCCACATCATTCACAGCTCAATCCTGAAAACATCAATCTCAGACTTTCTGGATCTCAAAGAGTTTGACCTGGCTTCTGAACAAGGATGACTGGACAGTCCTCTCCAGAAACAGCTACCACCTCTCTCACACCTACATATAAGCACCTGGGACCTTCCTAAGAAGGCCCCTTCTCTCCCCAGGAAAGCATTCAAGGAATTCATCTTGGGAGCTAGGAGATATTTAGGAACTTCTCCTGAAAGTACCATTATCCCTGAGGACCTGCTCCCTAGGGTTTTACTGATTATTTAAGAATCCCAGTATGGTCAGGATAGAAGAGAACATGGTCAGGTGTGGTCCAAGGGGAAGATGAATGTTTCAAAATCCCATGAACCCTTTTGAGGTCGAGTGAAGAGAACTGCTTTTGGGCCCCACTCTATTTTCTCATCTGGATGTTGGGGGTGGTAGTTGTTTAAAGGGTCAATTGATTTAATGGGCGAAAAACACTTTGTCCATTGAAAATACACTATATTTCCTGAGACCCAAGTATTTCTGAAAAGGAGGCTACAGGAGCTACTGGCTCAGTAATAACAGGAAGTGGTATGTGTGTAAAGACTTAAACCTGCCAGAGTCCCACCGGAGTTACGTCATACAGAAGCCAGAGGTACGGCTTCCCAGAGTCCTCACACTAGGGACAGAGAACGTTTGTGAAATAGGTGCCTCCTCCCTTCTTGGCCTCCGGCTTCTTGCAAACAAGAGCCAGGAAATCCCACAGCACTGTCCACCGATATGCTTGCTGACTGGACAGTGGGCGCCCCTTGAGAGCAAGAGGGCAGCATTACTCAAAGTATGAGCCATTATATAAGCATCACCTCTGTGCTAATTAAATACTCAGATTCCTAGGTCCAACCCCAGATGAGCTTGGTCAGAAACAATGGCAATAGAACCTGAGAGTTGTTATTTCTAACAAGCTCCTGAAGTGAGTTTTATATAAATTTAAGGAGCTCAAGGACCAGAATGTTGGAAAAGCTGTAGAACTGAAAAGACCTGGGTCAAATTCCAATACCACTAAACAGCAGCTGTGTGACCATGGGCAAGTTACTTAACCTCTCTGAACCTCAGTTTACTCATTTGTAATATAAGTATGAAGCACAACCAGTATTGCTGGGAGAATCAGAAATAATACTCTGCATCTATGTTATCCTAAGAGGCAGGAATAACCATGACCCTCGTCTTTTAGGGGAACAATCTGCCACTGTGAGCACAAGGGGTTTCCTAGAAGCCTCTCACATGTGATGGAAGCCAGACAAGACTAATGTCCTTAACTCAGAGGCCCACACCAGGCCTTTACATCAGGAGTCAAGCAAGGTGAACAGGAGAGAAAGATGGGCTGAGCTTTGGATGGAAGCCAAGCCCATCTGCCTTCCTGAAGGGTTCCACCTTGAGGTGGGTTCAGCTACTAGACACAGCTCCAAGATTGCTCTGCAGCCCAGTGGCTCTTTTGGGGGTGGGGAGTCTAAAGGGAGAAGAGACAGCAGTCACCTCCAGCCTGAGGGTCCGAAACTCTGGGGAGGTGCAGGGAGAGAGAGTGTGCGCAATGTAATGACATTCACCAACCATGGGCAGGGCTCAAAAACCCCTCAAAGCTTCAATCTTTCCATTTGGAAACTGGGGTTAATTTTTAGAAAACTAACATTAAACAGTCAACTATGGGATGGTGCCCAGTTGGGTGGCCTGCTCACAGCTCACATCAACGGAGGGACGCTGTTATTATTACCCCTGCTTTTTTATATGTCTGTGCTGGTCACACCAAAACTTGGTGGCAGTTTCACTGTTGTCCCAAGAAGAGAGATTATCTGAGCTTGAGCTTTACGTACCTGTGTTGGTTGTTAAACGTGTTAAACAACCTGTCCTAGAGAGCCTGACCGAAAACTGAAGCTAGGACTTGAAGCCAGAGCGCAGGGCATGGATTTCCCTCCTTTTTACTTAAAAGGCGGGAGCGGCGAGGATGAGGACGCCCATCGGCTGCTGGATTCCAGCCCTGGGATCATTCTGGTTTGGACGCGGCGTCTGAGTGCCAATCAGGGGCAGGGGAGCCCCCGCGCGCCCAGCATTTAGGTTTCCTGCTTTCTGCGTCCCCGGGCGCAAAAGAGGCCGGGCCCTTAGCCCCCCGTCGAGCCGCTCCTGGGTCACCCCGCTCGGTGCCACTCACACCGCGCCCAACACCAGGTTCCCGGAGCGCCGTGGCCCTGAGCTGACCCTGCGCGCCACAGCCCGGAGCGCCCAGCTCACCTGCTGAAGACGAGGCAGCCCAGGTGGTTGATCTCGTGGTCCGAGCGGTGGCGGCTGTAGTCCTCCCACAGGTCCTTGAAGGCCGTGACGGCCAGGATGAAGAGCACGGGCGCCAGCGCCAGGCCGGGCTGGAAGGCGTTCACCGCCGGCACGAAGTTGAGCAGCGCGATGAAGACAAAGTACACGTTGGCCAGGCGGTGGAACTGCTCGAACAGGTTCTTGGGCAGGAAGGACAGTAGAGTGTACTTGGTGGTCTTGAGCCGGTTGTCCGCCAGGTGCTGGGCGCCCCCGCGCCGCCGCCGCCGCGCACCCTTGGCCGCGCCGGCCGCTGG